GGGGGATCGCAGTTCCCCCGGGTGAGGTGCAGGGGGGCGGGGAACATGACGAAGCCCCGCCCCCTGCTTCCAGCCGCCCCGCTTCCGGCCCTCATTCAGCCAGGAGGAGGCAGGAGAAGAGGGAGGGTAAGTGGCTTCCTCCCTGCCTCTCCCCACCCCTGCCTGCCTGGGGCCAGGGAGGGCCTTGGCGGGGCTTCCTCGCACTCCCGCCGGCCTTGCAGGTCCACTGCCTGGCCCCTCATGGGGCTCCGCAGTGGAGCTGCAAGGCTGGCGGCAGCGGCCAGGACCGTTGGGGGCAGGGTGTGTGGCCTTATGACACACTTCCAGTGATGTCAGGGGGTGTGGCATATGCTAATGAGTTATGCTAATGAGTTCCCCTAGCTCTTTTTCTACGAAACGACCCCTGGAATAACTAGAAGGCGGGAACATCCCAGTACATATAGCTGGGCAAGGCAAATGGCTAAGCAAATGAACTTCGAGCGCACGCACACGGGAATACCCCAGTGGAAGATTACATAATGAGCGGGAGAGTCGCAGGGTTTCCTGAGAGCAGAAAGATTCACACCAAAAGTGAACCACAAGCTCTCCCTTCCTCACAAGGCCAGGCTGATAACGGCGTCTAGCTCCCACGGTCTCCCTGGCATGTTTACTGCAAGCTGCGGAGCTGCGAGCAAGCGGAAACAGGGAAGGACAGAAGACACAAAAATGGCAGCTAGCTGACATCGAGAAGATCTCCACCCACCTGGAGGCTGGCAACCCTATTAAGGACAAATCTGCTCCTTTTCATACAGTAAGTGAAGCTGCTTGTTAGCTCTGGAGGCCACGCAGAGCAAAAGGTTTCGGGAAACTTCCCCCTGTGTAGGGACGGGGTTGATGCCAAACACGATGGTCCTCTCGAGGCCTGAGAAACGGCGAATGCTGTCAAGGACAATCTTGTCTGTCAGTATCTCGTTGGCCTGTACAAAGCTAACATCAAGGCGGAGTTTTCTCATCTCCTCTACCAAGGGACGCTGGTAATTGGAAGTTATTTCTTTTGTGCTGCACAGAATTGCAATATCTTTCTGAGAGTAGCCTGCGTCCAGGTAGCTGCGACAGTGTCTGGCCACATAACATGCTATCTCCCTCACTTCCATCTCACGCTTTATATGGTACCTGCCAGCCATGAAATTGCCACAGCACGCTCTGCCTAGCAGCTCTCCCAGTTGTGGGTAAGGAATGTCTAACCGCTTTGCGTTGACTATATTCTCCATCTCTGCTTTCACAACTTCGTAGATTGTAGAAGCATTCCGGACTCCCTTAGTAAGATAACCCCTTGGATACTGTCGCAATAGAGGGGGGAGGCCACTGTCAAAAGGGTGACTCATTTGGAAATAGTCCAAGAAAATCCAGAAGATCCCAAGAGTATTAGGGTCACGACGGACAATGTTCCTAGCTTTCTTGTACCACGGGCCGTGCTCCACTCGGAAATTCTGAGCTTCATCCATCACAATGTGCTTGACGTTCGGAAATTCTTCCTTCATGAATGTCGCTCTCGTCACAGCACAGGACACTTTCTTCCTAAAGAAAACAAGGGAAGGTTTAAAATAAATAAATGTGATACAGAATTGGTTGGGTTTGAACTAGACTGGATGTGGGATCAGATATGAACAAAACATACATTCTGTCTCTGAAATCTTGGTCCCTACTCAGTAATTATTAATGGGAGGGGCCATAGCTTAGTGGTAGACTACCTGGTTTGCATGCGGAAGGTCCCAGGTTCAATCCCCAGCATCTCCAGTTGAAAGGACCAGGTAGCAAGTGATGGGAAAGACCTCTACCCTGGAGAGCTGCTGTCATTTTAAGTAGACAATACAGATGTTGGTGAACTGTTGGTATGATTAAGTATAAGGCAGTTTCATGTGTATGTTAGACGCTCGTGCCTCTGAAATATTAACCTCTACCTTGGTGACCTAATACAAAGCCTATTCAATGAAAATCCAAACTCAAAGGCAGATCATGGGCTTTACTCAAGGGTGCAGGATTGCCTGTATGCACAATATGGCTCAGAGTCTCCAGCCTCAAGATGCTTTTTACTTGGACTTTCTGCAAGCAAAGTATTTGCTCTGTCTACTAAGGGCCACAAGACTTTTGCTTAGTTATTAGGAAACTCAATATTTGCTCAGTTATTCGCTTCCTGAAAAAAAATGAGAGTTGAGTCCAGACTCTATTTTCCATCAGCAGAACGGAACTTTCCTGCTTCCTCTCCTCCCACTGAAGCCCACTGACACCCACAAAATGCTACTCCTAGAGGATCAGACTCCCCCCCCCGGGAAAACATGAAGAATAATAAGTGGAAGCTGCCAAAATCCAACTCTGGATATTGCTTTTTACCAAGGTACAGAGTTCGAGGTACTCCAGAAATATTTGTTGTAGAAGACTGAATTTTTTTAAAAAAAAATTAAGACAGCACTATAGAACAGCCCTTGGGCACATTTAGAATTCTTACTCAGCATGCTAGCCCCACCAACAAAATGGCTGCCACAGGAGGCGGAGCCAGCCACAAAACGATTGCCACAGCTTGACTTCAGTAACACAGTGCAGATCCTCATGCTGTGGTGGCAGTTGCTGCCAACGCAACATTTTAAAAAAAGGTCTAAAACAGCCAATCCAATCTGCAATTGTCAATCAGAAGCCTTGCTGGACAAAAGCCCTACCTTGACTCGCCCACTTCCTAAAAGCATTTGGTGGGCGCCAGGAAAGATGCCAGCGGGATCCATGGCGGCCACAGGTACCATATTGGGGGGGGGGACCCTGCTAGATTATTTACATTGCCTCTCATACAGGGTGTGGCACAATTAGCCCAAGCAGTAACCAATTCTAGGATCCAATGTCCATTGCCACACTCACCCGACAAAATCCCGCAGTGGCTTGTTTTCACAGATGTACAGTATTTCATCGGGTCGGCAGTCAAATTCATTCCTTATTTTCTCCATAATCTTCAAGGCCACCACTGTTTTCCCACTTCCGGGTATGCCGTATATAAACTGTTCTCTGGTCCCGTCAAGTTTCTTGGAGAGGGTTTCATACTGTTCATAGGTCAAGAGATTAAGAAACTCCACTCCAATGAAGTCACTCGAAAAGGAGGTGAAGCCAAACAAGACTGTTACAAGTGCCTTTTGTAAGCCGGGTAGGTGTTCTTGTCGCAACCTGTAGTCTACAGGGTACTTTAGTCTCTGACCTCCAGCATCCTGTTCACTTGTAGGCTGCAGATACAAGACCTTTGGAATCACACAGATCTTTTGAGAGTATCCTCCAACATTCGCCAGCTTCTGCTTTAGCAGTCTGGCTGTGCTTCTTGAATGCTCATACACTTCACAGGTGGGATTCTCAACAACACTATAAAAGACAGGATAGCGTCCAACAACCATCAAAAGTGCATCGCACACGATGGCTCGGTTCTTGGGCAACCCAATGTCCACGGCCCAGCTTCTTGAAAGCATCAATGTTCCTTGAACCGGTGGCTGAATTTCCCTTTCTAGCAAAGCCTTCAGCCTTGGATACTCCAGGAACAGCTTGTCACAGAGGGGTTGGGGAACAAATGTCATCCTGTTGGACTCTGCTAAATGAAGGAGGTATAGAATATAAAGAATAGAGTTAACAGCTACAGATGAAAAATTTCCCACCCTTACTAAATCCTGCAGTCTGGGACACAGGAACAGTTTGTTTTGTCTATTTCCAGGACACAAGAATCCCCATGAATATCGGAGAAAATGTCAGTCTTAAATATGGAGCAAAGTTTATCGTGCCTGTACATAGAAAAGCCAGTTCCCATCACTAGTATAACAGTGAAAGGGTCAGGACTCAGTAGCAGAGCCCTTGATTTGCATGCAGAAGATCCCCCGGTTTGATTTCCAGCATCACTGATTAAATTACCTCCTCCAGCGTTGGGAAAGACCTTTCTCTGCCTGAGACATTGGACAGCTGCGGCCAGTTAGAAGAGACAATACGAGACTTGAGGGGCCAGTGCTTCATGTGATTCAGACCTAATGGAACTCAGGGTGGCACTACACAAGCAGGGGTATATCCACAGTTCCCTTCCCCTCCCCACAACAGACACCCTGTTCGGTAGGTGGGGCTGAGAGACCTCTTTCAAGGACTGCTCTTGAGATAACAGCTCTGAGACAACTATGGCTTGCCCAAGGTCATCCAGCAGCTGCAAGTGGAGGAGTAGAGACCTTGGCCTTGCCACTGCTGTCTGTGGACCTTCCAGAGGCATCTGGTTGGCTGCTGTGGGAAACAGGATGCTGGATAAGAGGATGGACCCGTGGTCTGATCCCACAGGGCTATTCTCATTTGCATGGGTGGGTAATTCTGCCTAATCTCAATCCCTAACATTGGGCTTTCACCAACAAGACTCTGGCACAGCATGCTGCCCAAAGAATCCCAAGGGAGATTCTCCTCCCCTGCTCACATCCCATTAATCAGAATGCTGGGCAATTCACTGGCTTCATCAAAGACCAAGCTACAAACCTGTCCAGCAGCTAAAAGCAAGGAAACATATAATGAATACAGATCACCATTTATGGAATGCAAGTGTATTACATAGAACTTGTGACCAATGCTCCCTCTAAGCTGTGGAGTCTTGTGAGCAAAAATTCTACTTTAGGAGCTACTGGCGTTAAAGTCTGCTCTGGCGCCATCCTTCCTGAGCTAAGACAATAAGATATGAGCTGGAGGCTAAAAAAACTGTGAGCTAGCTCACACTGACTCAGCTTAGACGGAACATTGCTTGTGCCCCTGCTGAGCTGATCACCCACACTGAGGAAGGAATGAGAAACCTGCCACATGCTTAGACTTGAGAAATCCAGGGAAGTAATAAAGCTGTTGGATTCTCCTCCTCCTCCTCCTCATCTTGGCAGCCAAAGCAAGAAGATGATACCGTGTTTCCCCGAAAGTAAGACATCCCCCGAAAATAAGACCTACTTACAGTTTTGCCTCTCGCTGAAATATAAGGCATCCCCCCGATAATAGGGCCCCCCAAGGCTACCGTACCTCTGGACTCTGGGCTGTAGCGGCGGGTGCCGCCGCGCAGCCGGAGCAGACAGGAAGTGCGAGGTCTCTTTTAATCAGAGAGCCCACACCGCCGCCAGGACAAGCTGCCGCCTGCTGCTCGCTCTGCCCTGACGCAGTGTACCGTATTCTTCTTCATGGAAAAATAAGATATCCCCTGAAAATAAGACCTAGCGCATCTTTGGGAGCAAAAATTAATATAAGACACTGTCTTATTTTGGGGAAAACAGGGTATTTTGAGTGCCGTTCTCCCCACACTCTTCCCCAAAGAAAGTCCAGCAAGGAAAGAGGAACATATATAAGTGGCTAGAGGCTGAACAGTCACCAGCTACCATTCAGGGCCTTCCTACTTTGATACAGAATTCTTATGTTAAAAAGCGTTTACAAAACCCACAGGCCATACCCGGGAAAAACTTTCTCCGCAGCACATCCAAGCTGTCCAGACCTTGGACTGAATACACTGGCTTGATCATCGGAGGCCCGTCTGACAGACTCAGCTCTTTCGTGAATTGTTCAGCCAGCTTCGAAAGATCTGGGTAACAAATTAAACATTTTCCATTGGGAAAGAAAGAGAAGATGAAATCATGTCTGTTCTATGTCACTGTACCAGCTATATGATGGACATACTATTTCTAAAGGAAATGGGGCTATATCGTAACGCAAAACAATTCAGGAAGGCACTTTTATAAATGGAACTCATGTTCCTGGGACCATCACCCTCGTTTTTGTAACATTTGATCCCCATCCTGTACAGGCCTAGAAATGACAAAGTCTGTATTAAACTATTATCAAATGGCAGTGAGTCACACTAAGGGCATAAAGGAACGCGGGGCAACTCCTCCTTGAATCACTCAAAACCCATCCTAAGAGGGATTCAGAGGCCCATTTCCCCCAAAGACCTCAGAACCTCCTTCCAGATAATTTGATCTAAACAAGTGACCTAAATATCCAAAACAAGCAGCAATGGCTGATTCCAGCTAGCTCGCTCATAGTTTCCCCCATATTTCATTTCATTTATTGCATTTTTATCCCGCCCTCAGGGCAGCTTTCAACAAGGGCACCATGTGGCAAATATAAAACATTAAAATCAGAAAAAAACAACCAATTAACATAAGTAAAGTGCTCAGTGATACTATTACTTTAGTCAAGTCAAGATGAAGGCTTGTAGATGTTAACCCAGAGCCCATTTAGGCGGCAACAATCCATCATGGTAATGTAGTGGTCTTGTATTGGGCCATCCCATTGCCCCGTTGTTGCCATAGGATAGTTGTTGGTGGTGGTGGTAGTGGCGGCTCCTAATTAAAAGCCTGGAGGAAGAGCTCTGGACTTGCAGGACCTAAGGAACTGTGAAAAGTCCTGCAGGGCCCTGATCTCCTCTGGGAGCTCATTCCACCAGGTAGGAGCCGCCACTGAAAAGGCCCTGGCCCTGGTTGCCACAAGCCTGGCCTCTCTGGGGCCTCGAATCACAAGATGATGTTGGGCCCCCTACCGTAGTGCTATCTGGGGTATACACCTTGGTATACACATAGTTTTTAAAAAGTCCAAGGTGTTAAAAAGTACTCCAAAGTACATGTGTTTATTCTGTGCAAGCAGGGGGTCTCTTCTGCAAGACCTTCACATGCATGCTGATTTGGGTAATGGAACAGTGCAGTGGACGATACTACTGTGTATAGTACGTATTATCTGTTTGCTTTCACAGCACTGTGTTTCATTGTGCAACATATCTTTTGTACTTTATGCTTTGTTTCCGATTTTTGTAATCCTAGTTTGATTACATTGCTGGTTAGATGGGTCATCCCTACTGACTGCATTGAATAACACTGTGTAATCCACCTGGAGTCTTGTGAGAATGGCACATATAGAAGGGGCGGGGAAAGAGTCCCTTAGTCTCCCTACTCCTAGTAACCTGCTTCCCTCCAGTGCAGCAAATTCATTTCCTACCTGGGTCTTCAGCTGTCATTATTTTAAGCCATTCAGCAATCTCAAATCTCTTCAGACAGCCAGCCTCCACAATCCATGAATCTGGCTCTTCCGAAAAGAAAATGCCATGGAATGACTCAATTCTCACAACAAAGACGTAACCGCGTTCCTTTCCGTCTTTATCATAAACAGCCTGGGCTTTATATTCATAGTAAACTTTTGGCTTAGAAGCATCTAAATGGAAGTAGGGCACCGCATCAATGGTTGCTGCAACTACCACTTTCACTTGGGTTGGGTTCACGTTTCTTTTACACCCAACAACTTTCTGATTATTGTCCACACCAAAAATTAAGTACCCCCCTTGGGTATTTGCAAAGGCAGAAATATATCGCCGAAGCGTATTTTGAACAAAATCTAAGGTGTTCTCGTCTCTTGGGAAGTCCTTAAATTCAACCGTTGTCCATTCAGTGAAACTCAGGATCTCGCCATACTCCAGTTGATCTCGTTCAAAAAATTGAATGGCTGCGTTTCGGATGCCGGATGCCATTTCTACAGCAACTTCTGTTGAACCCTCAATGTTGTTTTGGAGACGGGGCCTCTTAGGACTCATCACATCAGAATCAAGCTTGGCATAAGCTAGCTTCTCTTTCAGAAAAGTCAAATCCTTCAGCTTCATAGCAGATTCCCCGTTACGTTGGTGCAAGCCAGTTTCTACATTACAAATCCGTGGCTTGGAGGAATTTGCGCTGCTCCACGCCTTCACCCAAATCATCAAGTGTTGACCTTTCTGGATAAAGTCAAAATATTCAGATAATTCTTCAGAATGAATACACTCCCGAAAGGCCCGTTCTATGTCCTGACCAATTCCATGTTGAACCAAGTAGTAGCCTTGGTTTGAGATCGATGCCCGTATCACACCTCCGCCGGAGTTGAGCAAAGCACAAGCAGCTCGTGTGAGTTTAAGCTTTTCATCTGCCAGTTCCTTCATCAGCTTCTGTCCATCTCCTTTCTTCTTCTCTTCCACAGCTCCCTTCTTGGAGTTCACGGGTATTTCCATTTCCCCCAGAACCTTCTTTTTCTTTCTTGGTGACCTTTGGCGCTCACCAAACAGCACTTTCCCAACTGATATGATAAACTCAGCATAGTCACTTTCTAAATCGAGACACAGCTGAGACTCAGTGACAATGGCCATTCTATTCCTAGGAAGGACAGAAATGAAGAATTGAGCACATGAGACGTTATTAACGTCAAAACATCAAAAATGGCTTGCTGTTTAACTAGATTACTGTGGTGCTCCTGATGTCTATCTCAAATCGAGTATTCCTTTTAATTTTTAATTTTTATTTATTTTTTAATTACATTTACATCCTGCCCTCCCCACACGTGGGCTCAGGGCGGCTCACAGTACACCAGTGTAATACTTAAATTTGTGTGGTTAGCCGTGTTAGCCTGAAGCAGCAGGACAAAGTTTGAGTCCAGTGGAACCTTTAAGACCAACAAGTTTTATTCTGGGTATAAACTTCCGTGTGCACACACACTTCTTCAGATACATTGAAAGAGAAGTCACTAGCCACTACATATAGGTAGAGGGTGGGGAGATTGTTGCCACAGTGTACTAACACCTTCATGGCCGACTTGAAGCAACACTTCCTAAACTCTTACTCACTCGCACCTCTCTTATACCTGCTGCGATATATTGATGACATCTTTATTGTCTGGACAAATGGTAAAGAAGCACAAATGCCACCAGGCATTCACGTTCTGCCATTCCATTTTGTTGAGGAGAATAAGGAATTGTAGTCTTATGTTCAATTCCTTCTTGTTCCATGAATCTTTGGAACAAACTGCTGCAGTATTCTGTGCCATTATCTGTGAACAGCACGTCTGGCGCTTTGCCAAATTTGTTTTTTAACAGCAGCAACATAGCATTTAAACTTGTCAAGCACCTCATCTTTGCTCCTAAGCAGGTAGGTATAGACATATCTGGATTTTCCTTCCAGAAAACTGACAAAATACTTGTTGTCACCAGCAGATTCCTTTATTGGACCAACCAAATCAGAGTAGACGCACTCTAGAAACTTAGTATTGGGGTCATGAGCTCTATCACCCCACCATCAACCTGACAATGACCCAATCTATGCAGGAAATACATTTCCTGGACACTACTGTAAAAATACACAATGGATGCATAGACACCACCTTATACTTAAAACCTATTGACTGATAAACGTGTCTCCATGCCTCCAGCTACCATCCTAAACATACCAAACAATCCACTGTATACAGCCAGGCTGTATACAGCCAATTCTGCCTTTTTTCATCTGAGGCAGATGCGGCAGTTGGCCTCATACCTCACCCCCCACAATTTGGCTATGGCGACCCATGCAACAGTCACTTCCAGATGAGATTATTGTAATTCTCTCTGTGTGGGGCTTCCTTTGACTCTGCTCCAAAAGTTGCAGTTCGTGCAGAACGCAGTAGTGTGGGTGTTGATGTCGTTGCCTGTGCAAGCCACACATCCACCTGGCGCTGCATGACCTATACTGGCTGCCCATCGAATACCAGATCTGTTTCAAGGTGTTGGTGCTTACCTTTAAAGACAGGGGCCTGCATATTTTAAGACCACCTCTCCCTATATGAGCCCCATAGAACATTGCGTTCTACGAACTAGCATCTCCTGGTTTTCCCTGGCCCTAGGGATGTCCGACTTGCCCGCCTGGTGGAATGAGTTACCTTAAGAGATCAGGGCCCTGAGTTCTACAGGGCATGCAAGACAGAGCTCTTCTGCCAGGCTTTTACTTGAGGCAGCGGGCACCCATTTGATGTGGCCTCCCCTCCAGTGACCACAAATCTGAGAAGTTGGATTGGGACCACTATATTATCTGTTGAGGCACTGTTGTTCTAGTCTGCTGTGGTTTTATTGATTTCAATGAACTGTTTTTATTTGTTTTAAATGTGAATCTGCATCAATTGCAGACACTGTATGTTGGAACCCACCCTGAGCCTACGATGTGGGGAGGGTGGGATAGAGGCCCAATAAAATAAAGCAGTATATACAGAAATATTTTATGTTGAAGTATTGAGTATCGAGACCCGAGTTGCCGCATGATGGAGTGAGCTCCCGTCTCTAGTTCCAGCTCCTGCCAACCTAGCAGTTCGAAAGCAAGAAATTGCAAGTAGATACCTTCGGTGGGAAGGTAACAGCGTTCCGTGCACCTTGGTGTTTAGTCATGCCGGCCACATGACCACGGAAATGTCTTCGGACAGTTCTGGCTCTTTGGCTTTGAAACGGAGATGAGCACCGCAACCCTAGAGTCGGACTCGACTGGCTTTCGAGCAAGGTAACCTTTACCTTTACTGTTTATTTATTATCTTACCATATTTTGATTTGTTATGATACTTTTTCATGCTTTATATTTTTTTATTATGCAATGTCCTTAAAATGTGTTTAACAAATGATGCGTTATGCATCTACACTTTTCTCTTTGTCTCTTTTCATTTTGTATCTCTTTAAATGACTGTGCTTTACCATCGTGCCTTTTTATCCTAATACAGCCACAGTCACAAAGGGGAAATGTTGTGAACCATGGGGTCCAAAGGCAAGAAACTGCAAAGATACCCTGTGGCATTTCTATGCAAAACACAGATGTGCACAAACTAAACTCAATGACAATTCACAAAAACATAAATGAAACATTTGTGCAGTAAAAGGAGACCATTGTCTTGACTGTAGCCTAGATAGGTATACAACAGCTACACCCCTTCATACAATCCTCCTCCATCCCCCAATCAAATCCTCCCCCTCCAAATAAAGATAAAGCCAATTGCATAGAAAGAATATCTAGGCTAATTAGAATTCAGATCAACCCCACTACTGCTGTTGGCTGTAAAGTATACCTTAGGAGATCTACCCGGGCACACTGCCAAGGAACGCCATTTTAAGAGGCTACCACTTACTGTTTAGCAAGCAGAGGTTGTTTTGGATTTTTTTAAAATTTGTGAGTTTGTGAGGCTGATTTTCCATTCGACAGCCACCCCCCCCCCTCCTTAGCAAATCCCCACCGTTTCTGGACACGTTTAGATATCTGGAATGGGACTCACCCTCTTCAGAAGACTTCTTTCCAAAAAAGAGCTTGCTCGACTTGCTTTAGCCCAAACTCTGCTCTCTTGCAATCATAACAGATTCGCCACAAAATAGCTCAACCACTTATCAATGCAACCACTTTCCTTTCCCTCCAGCTGGACGGACGAGGAAAGTGCTATTTTAAATTTCGCGCTGCGTATACCGTGGGGCGTGGCTACATTTTCGCGCCTGAGAAGTCCGCGCCCCCTTCTGAACCCTAGTGCTGATTGGTCTCCAAGCTTTACGGAACAGAGCCGTAAAGAGATTCGATTCACGGAAGTTGAGAACAACTTCGGTTCCCAAATGAAGGCACGCACAGGCAGAGGAGCCAGCGACGCAATCATTAGGTTTAAATGAGTCATCTGACCTAGCTGATGGGTGCTTTGATTGGGTGTTTGGAAGCTGACCACAAGCGCCTGTCTCCAGCTCCGCCTTCCTTTAGCCTTGGTTGGTCACAAAAGCAGATTGAGGTTTCCGCGGCCGCTGTCAATATTGCCCCTTCCCCACCTGTTGTTTCTGTCGCTGGAATTACATATTCCCGCTCTTTGTGCCTTATTGGACAGACTCAGCCAGATACACAGCCAATGGAAAATGGCAAAGACTACCAAATTTTATGGCTGGGGATGAGCTTTCGTGTGTCACATAGATACCAGCAGTGTTCCCTCTAAGCTGAGTTAGTGTGAGCTCACACTTTTTTGTCTCAGCTCAGGAAGGAGGGCTCCAGAGCAAACTGATTTATGCAGTAGCCAAGTGGCGTGCTCACTACTTTAATGCCAGTAGCTCACAAAGTAGAATTTTTGCTCACAAGTCTCCATAGCTTAGAGGGAACATTGGAAAGTGCTCCTGGACTCTCGCTCTGCTCTTCTCTACTGCTACAGACAGACTGACACTGCGACCCATCTTGAGCGATCTCAGTGAAACACGGACATGCACTTCGTCTTCCCATTTTGAGCCAATGAGCGGCTTGATGCGAGCCGGACCGCTATTGTTTCGTGTTGCGCGAGGGAGGCGTTCGGCAGTTACAATCTCCTTGAGAGAACAAGATTGAGGGGAGACGCAGTTGTTTTTTAAGCACAAGGAAACAAGAATGATGCTTTAAGCGCTTGTTCCAGCACTTTCACTTGGAATCCTGTTTTTCTTTTCTGCTGCAAACTAACACAGCTACCCATCTGGAGTCCTCTCTTCAGTCTATCATAGTCTAGGGTTGCCAACTCTACTTGGGAAGTACGTGGAGATTTTGCGGGTGGAGGTTGGAGCGGACAGGGACCTCAGCATGGTACGATGTCATAGGGTCCACCCTCCAAAGCAGCTATTTTCTTGGTCTTGGTTGCCTGGAGATGAAAAGTTATAGTGAGATATCTCCAGGAGCCACCTGGAGGTTGGTAACCTCGCATGTTCCTCAATTTTTCATTTTTTTTTTAAAAAAGGTTCTCCAGGCAGTTTACAGACATCAAGAAATCCAGATTACAAAAACAATAAAACAACAGAGTGCTATGGAAGCCATAACACTACACAATCCAGCAACAGCAAGAAAATAAGCCACATAGGCCAAATCAATAAATAAAGTGTGCAGGAAAGTGCTCTCAACAGATCGTTATTTATTTATTTATTTACAGTCAGTCTGCCTTTCTCCCTGAGACTCAAGGCAGATTGCAGCATATAAAAGCATGCAATAAAACTGTATAAGACATCCAACAACCAATGCCACAGGGCTAGGAATTACAGAACTGGGGAACCATGTGAGCAACAAACTATTTAAGGCAAGGTATACAATATAGAGAGTGGATCACAAGATAGAAGACCACGCAATAAAAACAAGGTCACCAGAGATAATAACAGCCAAAAATATAACTAGAGCAAGGTTAGCAAATAAGAATCTTAAAAATCTGTTGCCCATTGTTATGTACTCGGACCGCTACCAGGGGTCCGTGGTTAAAGTAAGGAGCTTAGTCCCCAAACAAAGGGGACCTAGGATCCTAGTCCACCTAGTGTCCACCTATAGGAACGTTGGCGGGAAATTCAAACCCTCCAATGGGACTGTGGGTGTGCCCGGTGTGAGTGTATATACTTGGCCTTGCAGGTCCGTTTTTCAGTTCTTGTGTGAAGTACAATAAACACGCCTGAACGCATGTCGTAGTCCGAGTTCTCCATGCGATGAACCCAGCACTTTACACCCATTTTAAAAAATCTGCAGAATTACATACAAAAAATGGAATAACCAAACACTGCTTTTAAAAGCCTAAGCATATCAATGCCTCTGTGCCTGTTTCAAAGTGCTGGCTATTTTCTTTCAATCCCTGGGGTTTAGGGGGTTCTCCCATCGGGTCCGCAAGGGTAAATCCCCAGGGGCTCTGCAGAATGAGCAGAGACCTGCCTCAGCTGCAGTGGATATCGACAGAAGTCAGGCAGACCACAGAATCCTTGCAACATCATTGGATGCTCCCATACTCTGCCACCGGCAATCCCTTTTCTCCTGCACTGGAATTCCAGGCAGTAGCTCTTTTAAGATGGTTCCCCTCTTAGGCTCTTGTGCCACTTTAGCCTTGCCAGCCCCAGGTAGGGAAATTCCTGTTGGTTTGGGGGTGGAGCCTGGGGAGGGCAGGATTTGAGGAGAGGAGGGATCTCGCCATGGTATAACACTACATAGTTTGTTCTCCAAAGCAGCCATTTTCTCCGGGGGAACTGATCTCTGTAGTTTGCAAATCAGTTAATCTCCCACTTGCAGTCTGGCAACCAGAGGTCATTTCGGGGGGGGAACGCGGGGGATCGCAGTTCCCCCGGGTGAGGTGCGAGGGGGCGGGGCACATGATGAAGCCCCGCCCCCTGCTTCCAGCTGCCCTGCTTCCAGCCCTCATTCAGCCAGGAGGAGGCAGGAGAAGAGGGAGGGTAAGTTGCTTCCTCCCCGCCTCTCCCCACCCCTGCCTGCCTGGGGCCAGGAAGGGCCTTGGCGGGGCTTCCTCGCACTCCCGCCGGCCTTGCAGGTCCACCGCCGGGCCCCTGATGTCAGGGGGTGTGGCATATGTTAATGAGTTATGCTAATGAGTTCCCCTAGCTCTTTTTCTACGAAATGACCCCTGCTGGCAACCCTACCTATTGCCCGTGTTGGTTCACCAGCAGGTTGGTGCCACTGTTGCTGCCTAGGGTTGCCAACCTCTGGGTAGGACCTGGAGTACTCTCAGAATGACAGCTGATCTCCATTCTTTATTCCAAACAGTCTAATAATGCCCATGTAGTAATGCCCATGATCTTGGGCAGTAAAAAAAGGTGGTCAAATCCATAGAGGCAGAGAGGTTTATCAACAATGGTCAGCCAGGATGACAAAATGGAACCTCCGTGATCAGAAGCCCTATATGTAATCCTAAAATGTGTAATATCAGTTTCTTATCTCACTACATAAAGTCACTCTGTTCTTGCTTATATTCAAAATTAAACTTTGTTGGTCTTAAAGGTGCCACTGGACTAAAGCTTAGTTCTCACACCTGTTGTTAACGCCTTTACTATCTGTATGCCAACTTGCTGATATGCACAGGTCTTACCAAATGCATTATTCCAATCTTAGCTGTATCTGTTGCTCAAACTCAGTTCGCAAATCTGTTTGTTAACTCTTGTGTTTGTAAGCTAATTTATTGCTATTCACAGATCTTACCAACCGCTTTAATCCAATCTCAGCTATAATTGCCCAGTTATTTAGACATCTAAACAGCCACTGCCACCATTACCATCAATAAGTCTAATAATAGAGCCCTGGCCCTTGGCTTTGACATCTATAGCCAGTGACACCACTCATATTAGGTAGCTCATAGAGCAGATCACTTGTTAGATTTATATGCACCCATATAGAACGCCATCGCTAATGTAATTAAGTAAACATCGCCAGCACTTTATGTAACTTATGTAATCGAACTGCTGAATTGAGTGTTTTAGATGATTTTATGTAGATTTGAACTGTTATTTATGCATTGAATTGTGTAAACCGCCCTGAGCCAGCTCTGCGGGGAGGGCAGGGTACAAAATTTAAACAAATAAATAAATAAATAAATCTTGACTCTTACTAGCCCTTCCTGGCAATTAACTCTGCTACCTACATGGAATGGTTGAGAATGTCTTGCTTCACTGTCTCTGAAGAAGTGTGCCTGGACACAAAAGCTTATACCTTGTGTACAGGATTAGCCCACTCAGGCCAGTTCAGGGATGAGGGGAATCCTGTACTTTTCAATACATTAAACAACAATCCAAGAGGTAGGCTATACCCTCTCTAGTTTTCAGAACAGTTTGCCACCAGAATCTCTACAGTAGTCCCCCCAACCTGAGATTAGAGATTCAAACTCTCAGTTGGCATCTGGAATTTAACACATTAGCAACTCAATCCAGAGATGCACACACTTACTCTTACAAAGGTAGCTTATGTGGTGAGCATAAGGCACAAGATCTAGCCTTGGAATTCAAGTTAAAAATCAGAGACAATTTAGAAATAAGAATAATTTTTATTCAGTACAGAGCATAGCAAAACAGACTATATAAGAGATTACTGAAAACAAGAAAAACCTATGGCTCTTTGCCTTAACTACACATTAAAGATACATAGTTATCAAGTTCAGGAACATCCAACAGTCCAGGATAGTCCAAGGGATTTTGAAGGGAAGTCCCATCTTTGCACAACCATGTGGTCCGAGTCACAAAGCAGCCCTTTGTGAGTGAAGAGATAGCATTTCAGGTGCAATAAAGCAGACAATGGCAAGAGAAGGGAGCAAGAGCAGAGAGCTCACTCCCATAGGGATCAATAAATTATACCTCAATCTAATCATGATTAACTGTGGCCATCAGCCAATCACGAGCGGACAGGGGGATGTGCCCAACTGTTGGTTGTCATAGCTGCGTGTGGGGATAGGCTAGAAGTTTGGAGACCATGCCTGCAGTCACATGACCCAAACTCCAGCTTTCTCCATTGCCTATGTGACTTGTTGCATGTGGGCCAGAGCCAGGAGCCATCAGGTCTGGCTCTTCCACTCAGAGGTGTGAAAGAATGTGTGGTTATATGGCATGGCTATTGAGGCCATTTGGTCTCACCATTTGGCTTGCAACCGGAAACAAGACACAGCATGTTATCAAAAGACATCACAGGAGAAGGCATGTGAATATAGAAGCAGAAAGCAAAATTTCTATACACCTTGAATAAAACTTTGTTGGTCTTAAAGGTGCCATTGGACTCAAACTTGGTTCTTCTGCCTCCCCTGTCTGATTCTGCCTGGATCAAATGCTGCTGCTTCTGCCAGGAGAAAAGAGTAAGAGTCCAGTAACACCTTAAAGACTAACAAAATTTGTGGCCGGGTATGAGCTTTCATGAGACACTGCTCTCTTTCAAAAGGATGCCTTGATTTTCAATTGTAGAAGCAATATAGCAGAAACCTTTTGACTGATCTAACAAAACATGGCAATGTAAATTGGCTCTAGACACCATGCAGACTAACAGGTGGGGAATAAGAAATGTGCTTTCGGCATCTGGAAAAATGGCAAACACAATGCTTCTCTCAAGACCTGAAAAATGGTGAATGCTGTCTACAACAATTCCATTTCCCTCTGTCACATCTGCTGTTGTGAAACACACATTCAGCCTTAACTTGGTCATATGATTTGACATTTCACATTCTAGGAAGCCTTTATAGCGATCCCTTTCTTCTACAGAACTGCACAGAATAGCAATGTTTTTTTACAGAATAACCCTTTTCAAAATACTCAAGACATTTATGAACTGTGACAGTCACTATTTCATCTTTGTCTTTAAATGCACGCATGTCAAAAACACCTTGTAGAGAGTGACCGCACTGAGCTTCATCAACAAGTCTATTTAATTGTTCATAAGGAATATCAAGTCTTGGGAGTGAATGTTGTGATCCTTCCTTGACTTGTATAAATGGATTAACCACTGAAGGGTCATCCTCATTGAATAATCTCTTAAACTCTTCCAAGAAAAGCTGAAACCTTCTGGGAAAACATAAAATTTCTTGCATAAATTCAATCATAGCAATGCATATTTGGGCAACATCCAAAGCGCCTACAGCATGATCATCCTGAGGGTCATCTACCAGTTTTTTAAACTGCTCATAAAGAATCTCAGCTCTATGCGGGAAACATAACATTGTCCTCCTAAATTCTAACATAGAATTGTACAAATCAGTAGGATCCCAGACTTTCATGGTGATACCAGGCTGAATATCTGCTTGCAGGCATTTTAACTGGTCGTAAAGAATATCAGGTTGTTTGGGGGAACTTAAATTTTCCTGCACAAGTTCTATCACAGCAGCACATACATGAACAGCACTCGAAAACATTTGGCTGTTATCATGACAAACTTTGTCAACCAATTTTTTAATATGTTCAGGTCTGTCATTTGCAATCATTTCTGTTACGTGCATCATCACGTCGTATACTTGGGTGGCATTCCGAACCCCCGTGGTTAGCCACTCCTGAGGTTCCTGCTTAGATGGGTCTGGGAGGCCAGAAGCTTCAGTGTGGCTTGTCTGTAGATAATCCAAGAAGATCCATAAAACACCAGGCTTATGAGGATCCACTGCTGTAAGCTTCACAGCTTTGCCATACCAATCTCCATCTTTTGACTGGAAACTCTGGGCCTCGTCAATTACAACGTGCTTCACTGGCTGAGAGTAGTCCCCGTTTAAAAAGTCCGTCCGTGTCACAGCCTGGCACACGATTCCCACTCTCATTCTGCAAAAGAAAAAGACTGGTTATTGTGAACAGGTAGGTTTGGCCTAATGTGGCGTGCCTCAGGGGAGCCAGAGGCTAAGCCAAATTAATGGAAATGCTTCTGAGTAATGGTGGGTAGAAGCTGCGGTGGCTCAAGTGGTTAAGACGCTGAACTGCAGGCTGTGGAAGGTTGGTAGTTCAGCAGTTCGAGACCCGGATGCCGCATGACAGAGTGAGCTCCCGTCTCTAGTTCCAGCTCCTGCCAACCTAGCAGTTCGAAAGCAAGAAATTGCAAGTAGATAAATAGGTACAACTTCGGTGGGAAGGTAACAGCGTTCCGTGCGCCTTGGTGCTTAGTCATGCCGGCCACATGACCACGGAAACGTCTTCGGACAGCGCTGGCTCTTCGGCTTTGAAACGGAGATGAGCACCACAACCCTAGAGTCAGATTCGACTGGCTTTCGAGCAAGGGAACCTTTACCTTTACCTAATGGTGGGTATTTCATCACTTATTACTATGAGATGGTTACTGATGGCTTTGTTGAATCCCCCATCCGAGTTTGGAGGAGAGGACCACCACACCACCTGCCACTGAAGCAATAGAGCAGATGCATATCTGTATGTTGGGAAACAACAGATTGAGCTTGGAAGAGACAGACAGACACTGCTGGGGGGTGGCTGACAGACCCTGAGGAATCAGGATTTCTCTCTGTAACGATTTCATGTTTATTTGTGTGTGTGTGTTTAAAAGTTTGGTTTACCTTGCTGTGTGAACGTCTAGTGTGATTGAAATAGGCAAGGTGTGTGATTGGTGAGTGACAGAGAGGGGGAGGGTTTTTGGAATGGATGCTGTGTGGATGATTTGAATGTCTATCAGGAGTGACTGTTAGAGTTATGACAGTTGATGAAGTCAGTTAGTCAGTCAGCAGAGAGTGCTGTGTAAAAAGCAGTTGATATGAGTTTGAGTGCTCATCTCTGTGAGAGAAGTTAAGTTCTGTCTCTGAGTTGAAGAAGACTCATCCCTGTGTATGAAAAGAGTGACATTTAGTTCTGTGTTATAAGAGTTACAATTGAAAGCTGAGAGTCTAGGAAAAAGTACAGTGAAAAGTGTTACAACGTTGCCTATGAAAAAACCCTGTCAGTAGAGAGAAGCTTGTGAGAGACACTAAGCCATTGTTCAAATCATTCCCAGTACTGTTTACATTGTTCACCCTCGTGTTTATACTTTCGTTAAATAAATCCCATTTACTTCGAGTTTACCAGCTAAGTAAAGAATCCTTCCTCAGACCACATAGACCTTCATGAACGCTCAGACCCTCGGTATACCTACCCTGTGAAAAATATTATAGAAAAAGGTTGGGAAAGCCTAAATTTCCCTGGTGGCAGCCAGAATACCCTACAGAGTAAAACTGAAAGAACATTTTAAAGTAAAACTAGACCTCCCCAAATAAGAGGTCGTCACACTCTCTCTGTAGATCGGATGTGGTATAGTGGACTTGTTGCCCTACAGAACTGCCTCTTACCTCTATTTGTTCTCTACAGTTAGGGAGGGGGCATTAATTGAAGCGACTCTGCTTGGCATCATCTACAGTTAAAAGGACCAGGTAGTAGGTGATGTGAAAGACCTCTGCTCTGAGACCCTGGAGAGGCACTGCCAGTCTGAGTACACGATAGTGACCTTGTTGGACCAAAGGTCTGATTCAGTACAAGGCAGCTTCATGTGTGTCCATCTGTGTATAGTACTTGCCTATTTGGAAATAAAGCAAATATTACAAAACACTATCAATCCCCACTGCTCTCTCCTCCTAAGGGAAATAGCCCATGTAAGTGCTGCCCCCGGGACATCTCACTGCTTGGAAAAGTGAGGAGCATCTAAACAATATTATTAGGTTTGTCCTGGTATTATGTAGTTTTGATTCTGTGCATGTATGTGCCCAGTCAGTTTAATAAAAATGCAGAGTCATTGGATCACCTTTTGACCAAAAGTTACAGACTGCCAGGAGAAAAGACTTTCTTGGACCAGTCTCTTAAACTGTATTGTAGTGTATTGCAAACAGTTACATGAATTGCTTCATTAACTCCCCATGTTAAGCTTCGAGCTGAACAAAGGCTCCTCAGAACTGTCTGACTATTGGTCGCTCTGCAACAGCGACCAATCAGAACTGTGCCAGTTCCCTGCGAGGGAAAGACTCTCATTGGTTGTTAAATGTAAATAGGCGTGGCTATATTAGCCCGGGAACGTTTAAAAGGAGCCTAGCTCCCAATGTTAATCTGTTCTGGTTATGAATGCTTTTAAGTGCTTGTTCGTTACTTCAATAAAGCTGATCACTTTGCTGAATTCACTCTCTGACTCCTTGTTAGCGGCGATCTAACATGTATAGTGGCAATAATTCCTCACAATAAACAATGCATAACCTGGGAAACAAAGAATACAATCCATTTGCACCAAAAGTTACTGTTGAAGGGAAATTAGCATCATGGATTGGGGGAAAGAGGGAAAGAAAAGAAAATGTCTCCCAGGGTCTGGTGACTGGATAGCTAGAGGGGACAGGAACTATGTGCATTGGAGACCTTTAGTTATTTGTGTGCAAGCTCATCTTTGCTCCCATGCCCTCATTAAAACTCTGCTGCAATCAAAGTTTGGAAAGTAAGAAGGAGAATATTGTTGGTCTACAAGACTGGGATTAATAGTCTATCTTTCTGTTATAAAAACCCATGGTTTCATCAGCAGAAATCACAACAACCAAGTAATGAAAACAATGCCCTTGTGGTAGGGGCACGTCACGAGAAGTGAGCCATACAGTACACCTGACATTTTACCTTAGCTCAGAGCTATTTTTGGGCAGGAACGCACAGGAACGGTGTTCCAGCTGGCTCCTGAGTTGGCCATGCCCAGCAGGGACTCGTTAGCATAATAGGCCACACCCAAAAGCAGAAACTCATTAGGATTGGCTACATTAGGGGTGTGTGGCCTAACATGCAAAGAACTTCCTGCTACAAAAAAAGCTCTGGGTTTTGACAACAAACAAGGTAAACAGAATAAGAAGCAAAAGGTGGGTGTGGCTGGATGACCACACACTAGGACTGTGATGGGGCACCAAAGATGTCAGTAAAAGCACACCAGGCTGGCTGGCTGAGAGTAGCTACTTCCTGCCCTGCAGATGGCGTCCCCCTCCCTTTCATTTCCCCAGCTGCTCTGTCTTGCAGTTGCCATTTAAGTTTTGGGTTCAGGCTCCAACTGAGAACGTTAAAATGGCCATCAAGCAGGCAACACTTGCTTGGACTTTCTTGTACCTTCGACAAAACATTAAAAAAGTAGCAAGCGGGTCTTCGCAAAAATCTAAACTGGTTTAACGGAAAGTATATTTTTGCTGCACACACACACAAAATCAGTTGCAAATGTTTGAAATCTGAAATGTCTGAAACCTGACTCAAACTATACTGCTTAAAGCACAGATAGAAACAGACGTAGGATTTCAGACCAATAGGACAAATAAGCTGTCACTTTGTGACAAACAGAGTTTTTAGGACAAAGCTTGAGTCCAGTGGCACCTTTAAGACCAGCGAAGTTTAATTCTGGGTATAAGCTTTAATGTGCATGCACGAAAGCTTATACCCAGAATTAAACTTGGTTGGTCTTAAAGGTGCCACTGGACTCAGACTTTGTTCTACTGCTTCAGACCAACATGGCTACCCACCAGAATTTTTAGGGTGTACAATGGTAGAATCCTGAGAAAGGGATCCAGCTTAAGTATATTCTTTTTGATACAAGGGATCAGTTTTACCCCTCCCTTGACCTATATTTTCTTCAATGACAGGTAAGCTCTACCATCAGGACAGTCTCTCTTTTTTTGCACGCACACCCTATAACTCATCCTTTTTTGTCCATATGGGGACCAACTGACACCAGAAGAGAGATACAGATGCTTTCAGGCAACACATGGCAAAAATGCTTATCTCACGGTCTTACACAGAGGTCTGTTTTCACAAATGTAAAGGATCTCACCAGAGCTGCACTGGAAAATGTTCATTATCTTCTGTATGATCTGCAAGGCCACGACAGTTTTCCCTGATCCTGGAAGGCCGTAGATGAACAGTTTCTTGCTCTTATGGAGATTCTTAGTTAGGATCTCATATTGTTTAAAGGTGAGAAGGTTAAAAAATTCACAGCCAATCTGGTCACTTAAGAAAGACCTAAACCTTAGCAAGGCAATCACAAAGGGCTTGCAGCAGTCCTTCTAAACCATCCCTGGAGACCAGGTAGCCAAGAGGGTATGTGACCGGCCAACTCAAATCTGTCTTTATCTCTCCATTGGATCTAAGCTCAATGACATGTGGAAACACACACACTTTCTGAGTGTATCCCCCTTCATTCACCAGTTTCTGCTTTAATGTACAGGCAACATTCCTTGAATATTCCAACGCAGGGACTGTTGAAGAAACAGAATAATCCTTATCCACAGTAACCGTGTATAGAGTTGGGAAGGTATCTGCGGCGACTAAGAGGATATCATAGGAAACATACGGATGCTTCTGCAGCCCAACATCAACAGCCCAGCTTCTTGAAAAGATCAGGATCCCCAGGGAAGGTGATACTTCCTCCATTTTCTTCATCATGATGTCTTTCAGGCTGGGATATTCCAAGAAAACCTCTTCACAAAGTTCCTCTGGTTTACAGACTATTCCATCTGGGTGTACTAGAAAGTTGAGTACAGTTTGTTTCAAAATAGCAAAGCAAGCAGGCTTTGTGAGAAGGGTGAGTGGATCCACCCATCGGCCCCACCCACACCCGGGGATAGACGCACACCCCTGCCAGTAACAGTGACCATTAGGAGGCTCCACCTCTGGAAGCTGTGAATGAGGAAAGCTGTTGCTCTCTGACTCCGGTGTAGGGGAGGACTGTCATCAGATAGGCTAATTCAGAGTAGCAGCTGCCAGAGGCACCGTGTTGCTGGTACGGCACTGCCAGCAGGGCACTGATGCCGCCAAAGCCATTTCGGTGAGACCATGAGGCAGATGTGACACTTTATATCTCCCTGAGTCTTAAACACCAGAGATGGTTAGTATAAACTAGGGGTCCTCAACCTTTTTGAGCCTGTGCGTGCCTTGGGAATGCTGACACAAGTTGGCTGAAACAAGATGGCTGACACAAAATGGCTGCCACAGGAAACAGAGCCAACCACAGAATCTCAGGGAATGAGGTTAGGCATAACAACATAGTTACTGTTCCACAATTCAGCCAGAAGCTCTCTTTAAAAGGATGCCTTTTGATATGCACAGTTAATCAGGTATCCAGTGGTCAATCAGAAGCCCTACTGGGCAAAAGCCCCTCCTGTCCCCTCCCATTTTCTGAAAACAGTGGTGGGCACCAGGAATAGTGTCAGCCAATGCCATGGTGCTCAAGGGCACCTCGTTGGGGATCCCTGGTCTAAAAGGTTGTTCATCTGTAATAGTAGGTCTGGATGGCTATGCTTAAGAGTACCCCCTCATTACTAACTTGCTTACAAGAGGGTAGAAATAATAATAATAATAATAATAATAGTATACTTAATTGTCATTGTACATAGTACAACGAAATTAAGATGCAATCATTTCGGTGATCTACAACAGTATTCATATACACTCACACAATCATTCACAACTATCTCATAACTCCCTTAAGGTTCACATAGCAACTTAAAACCACTAATGTCACCCAAATTCCAATTTCATACAGCATTTAAGGCAGTAATAGCTCTCGAATAAAAACTATTTTTTAATCTGTTTGTCCTTGTTTTAATTGTCCTATATCTTCTGCCCGAAGGCAGCAGTTCAAACAGGGAATGTTCAGGATCTGACAAATCCTACAGAATGTTCTTTGCTTTTTTCAAACATCGAGAACTATACAATTCCTCCAGGAATGGGACAGGGCAGCGAATGATCTTCTAGGCTGTGATGATAACCGTCTGGAGTGCTTTCCTAACCACAGCCGTACAACTGGTTGAAGATTAGGAGAAACTTTGAACAGTTTGACAATGGGACCAAATACAGGTGGATTGTCTTTCCCTTACTGAAAGTCTTCAAGCAGAAATTAGACAGACACCTGTTGGGATACCTTTGAGTTTGCAGGACCATGTACAGTAGGATGGCCACCCCTGGGAACTTTTAGAGACAGGATTAGATGCCGTGTGGTGTTGTGCGATGCTGCAACATCATTTTCAATTGCATAACAGAGGCAATTGTGGTATAGGGTTGCCAGGTCTCCTCATTCCTCCAGCAGGGGGATTTGGGGGGGGGGGGTTCATGGGTGGGTGGGGATGTCACGTGATGTCCCCAGTGCAATGACATCACCTCCCGAAGTGACATCACTGCTTTGGGGATGTCGCACAGGGGATGCTCTGGTATTTGGGCAAAACTCTATGGTTTTTCTCCCTCAAAACCATAGGTTGCCCAAATACCAGAGTGTGTCTGTGCAACGTCCCTGTTTAGGAGAGGAGTTTCCTCTGCCTGCCAGCTGGTACACAGCAGAGGGAACCCTCCCCCCGAACCAAGGGATTTCCCGCCAGCACCTGGGGACTGGCAACCCTATTGTGGTGACATGTGACTAGAAGTGATGTTGCAATGTCACTTCCAATTGCATAACTAGGGGTGATGTCACACATTGCAGCAACACTCTAGTAAAACCATAGAGATTTGGGGGGTTGCTAGAGTGTTGTGGCGACATGTGACATCATTTCTGGTTGTGCCGCCGGAAGCGATGTTGCAGTACTTCCTCCCTCCCCCAATTTCCTCCTGTTCCTGCACAGGGCAGAAATGAGCAGCTGGAGGTGGTGGGGATGCTCCCCCTAGTGCAGAAGGTTGGACTAGGTGGTTTCCAAGACCCTTCCTAATTCTATGACCCTACAATATAATATTACATTAATATTTATGATAACAATTGCACATCCACAGTGATCCTCATTCCACGACCAAAGTAGGAGCCTACCTGGGAATAAAGTGCTTTGAAGAGTCTTCACGCAGGTGAGGCCTTTGTTAGAATACACCGATTTGCTGAGTGGGGGCTCACAGGACCTGCTTAATTCGATCTGGAATCCTTCAGCAAAATGTGACACATCTACAGAGTAAATAAGAGTAAAATGCAAAACCCTCAAGTAAGATAAGAGTGATGAGACTGCATTTAGTCACCTCCAGTCATTTCACCCGTGGACTTTTTGCCACCAATGCCATGACCTTCATCATTTACATATCCCCTCATTTACTACTGTGGCTGAACTTAACCAAACTGGCACTAGGATGCCCACTGCCTCTCCCAGAAACCTCTGTTTGGGACCAGCCACTTTCAAGCCCCATTTCTTTACCTACAATCTGAATTTGCTCTCAGCCTCCTCCCGTTCTAGGACCAATCTAGTACTAGCCACCTGGCACAATCTGTGGCACAACCTGCATGGAGGGCTCTTACATCTACCTCCCTTTGTTTCCAAGCCCAGGAAAAAATACCCCCCCGTTGAGCTCCGCCTACTTGCTTTATACAACTCCTTCCCCAAAATGTTCTTTTGCCTCTTTCAAGACCACTCATACCTTGCAAACAGTTTGAGCCTCTGTCTGATGCAGGAGACACTGTCCTGCTTTCCCTGTTTGAGATTTACTTGCTGGCAGGGCTTTTTTTGTAGAAAAAGCCCAGCAGGAACTCATTAGCATATTAGGCCACACCCCTGACAGCACAGCTCATTAGCATATTAGGCCACAAATCCCATGCCTTCCCTTGGCTTGCCTGGGCAAGCCAGCCCTTGGAGGGAAGGGGAGGCAGTTTAAACTGCCTTCCCTTGGCTTGCCCGGGCGCCCCGCGGCTGCAGGGAGTCAGGGCAAGCCAGCCCTTGCACAGGCTGGGGAAGGAACGGGGAGGAATTTAAATGCCTCCTTGATCCTTCCAGGGCCCCCTTGGCCCACCCATCTCAGAGTCGCCTAGGGGGTCACTCTTCAGGCCTTCCCTCTGTAGCCACACATGCAGAGGTTTTGGCTATAATGGGTGTGGCCAACTCTGAAGCCAGCCGGAACTCCATTCCTGTGCGTTCCTGCCCCAAAATAGCCCTGCTTGCTGCGCAGCTAACTGGACCTCCTTCATCCCTGCTGTACTCTCAGTTGGACTCCAAGATCAGCAGGGATATCTCTACCTCTCAGTCACTTTCTCTCTCCTGCCTTCTTTCCTCCCCCGATACTCCCTCCTCTTCTGCATGACTGGGTAGCTTGCAGGACATTAAGGCAACAGCCCTCCCTTCGTGTAGCCCCCCTTGGAACTGTCATGCTGCGACACTCTGCCTCTGAACAGGGAGGCTCCATTTAGCCATCACATAAGTGCTTTAGGCAAGTGACTTTTCTCAGTGCAATTCCTCCTGCAATAAGATAATAGCACCGAGCCACCTTGCAGGCTGTTTGGAAGCGTTATAATATATATAGTAATATATGTGTTTTGAACAGAGGTCAATTCGGGGGGGATCGCGGGGGATCGCAATTTTCCCAGGTGAGGGGCAGGGGGCGGGGCACACGACGAAGCCCCGCCCCCGCTTCCGGCCGCCCCGCTTCCGGCCCTCATTCAGCCAGGAAGAGGCAGGAGAAGAGGGAGGGTAAGTTGCTTCCTCCCCGCCTCTCCCCACCCCTGCCTGCCTGGGGCCAGGGAGGGCCTTGGCGGGGCTTCCTCACACTCCCGCCGGCCTTGCAGGTCCACCGCCGGGCCCCTGATGTCAGGGGGTGTGGCATATGCTAATGAGTTATGCTAATGAGTTCCGCTAGCTCTTTTTCTATGAAACGACCCCTGGTTTTGAATGAATTAAGTGCAAGTAATAACTATAAATCACCCCCATATTCCCCTGCCTCACAGTTTAAGGACTGTGGTATCCCTCTGGGCCCTTCTTGATAGCTCGTAAACACAACTCCTTTGAGAGCTACCCCACACAAGATTTGGAGTCTCATCCCCAATCACCACCACTGATCATGCTCATAAATTCCAAATGCAACTCTAAAAAGGTCACATTTCTAACAGGACCTGGGTCTTCCTCTGTCATCAGTAGAGTCCAGTCAGTGCACGTCAACCTCTTCACCTCGCCAGCCTCTATGATCCATGAATCTGGTGTTCTCTCGAAAACAATGCAGCAAGATGGCTTAATTCTCACTACAAAGACATAACCACGTTCCTTTTCCTCTCCATTTTCACTGCTATCATAAACTTGCAAGACTTTACATAAAAACACCACTTTTTCCTCAGAAGCGCAGAAGTGGAAGACGGGCAGTGTGCCAATGGTTTCACCAACTACCTCTACAAAATGGGACGGACATATATTTCTTTTACATCCAACAACTCTACGGTGATTGTCCACACCAAAAATCAAGTATCCCCCTTTTGTGTTTGCAAAAGCGGAGGCATAGCGTGGTAGGATGCTTCTAGCAAACTCATAGTTGTCCTTATCTCTTGGGAAATCCTTAAACTCAACCATGGTCGACTCAGTGAAATCCAAGATCTCTCCAAAGTCCAGTCGTTCTCGTTCGAAAAACTGAGTGGCAGCATCATTAATGTATTTGCACACCAGATCCCCACAAACGTTTTTGAATATTTGCAGGTGTGGGTCCTGCCTGCCACCCAGAACCTCTCTTGGCATGATCTTTCTTCCTTTTGAGAAAATGCACAGCATTTGCGGGTTTCATTTTCACAGTCGACGAACTGGAGCGCTCATTCAATCCCATGTTCAGGCTGCAAACACGTGGGTATGCCAAATTTTCGCTGCTCCATGATTTCACAAAAATCAACATGGAAAACTCTTCCTGTTGAAAGTCAAAATATTCAGAGAAGTCTTTGTTCTGAATACACTCCCGAAAGGAATCTTCTATGTCCAGTCCGATCCTGTGTCGCTTATAGGAATAGTCCTTATTCTCAATTTCGGCTCTTATCACTCCTCCCCCTGAGTTGAGTAAGGCACAGGCTGCTTGGTTGAGATCAGTCACTTGCTTTTTTAGTTTCTCCTCTAGCTTGCTTTTTAATTGGCTTATTAGTTTTTCAGTATCTTTGTTGGCTTTTTTGGACTTATCCTTCTTATTCTGCTCCCGAAACATTGCTTCAATTTCTTTAACCCTGTCCTTCATGCTTCTTTGTTCTTCACCAAATGTTATTTCCCCCACTCTTACGACAACTTCAGGATAGTCTGAATTGAAGTCACGGCTCAGCTTCTCTTCTGCAGCAGTCATATTCTACCGGGGCTGGGGTGGGGAGGAACATTAAAGTCAATGCTGTAGAGTTCACATAGAGCACTTTCACTTCACAGCTCTTTGCGATCACTTGCACGCCAGCTGAAGACACCCATGAAGCTGCCTTCTACTGAATCAGACCCTTGGTCCATCAAGGTCAGTAGTGTCTTCTCAGACTGGCAGCAGCTCTCCAGGGTCTCAGGCTCAGGTCTTTCACATCAACTGGTCCTTTTTAACTGGAGATGCTAGAGATTGAAACTGGGACCCTCTGCATGCAAATGAGAGGCTCTTTCACTGAACCATAGCCCTTCCCTTCCAGTTCTAAAAGCAACTGATTTGAGAAATATATTGGGAACCAGCATGAGAAGGCCACAACCCCATTCTATCTAAGCCTCCAATGCCTAGAGCAGACATTCCACATTGGACAAGTGAGTCACTGGATGTTTTTGAAGATAATGGAGTCTTTTGACACAATACTGCCACAAGTCAGTACTAAGATATTTTACACCTGCCCAGAAATATTCAGACAAATGCTGGCCTAGTTGTCAAAGGAATTCAGAGTCAGAAGTATTATCAAGATCTGAGGATGTCCTCTTAATCCCGAATCACATCCTTGATGAGAAATCATACACTGAACTAGACTTGAGTTGCTTCCACATGGAGATTTTGCTCTAGTTTGGCATCCAAATTGGAGCAGGTTTTTTGTTGTTGGGGGGGGGGGGGTTGGAGTCTCAACAAAACTTTGTCTCCAAAGTTTTCCCCTGCTTTGTTGTGATCTTTCCCAGACATAGTTTGATACAATCTTTTTTAAAGGACAGTCAACTGTGTTAACATGCCATGTTTCTCATGCAGTGAGTCCCTGCTTCGATCCCTGGCACCTGCGCTTTAAAAAGAAGGATCAAGTGTTAGGTGATGTGAATGGCTTGGACTGCTGCCTGTCCAAATACTCAGTACTGACACTGACAGAGTAATTGTCAGATAAGGCAACCTCATGTGTTCATGTGGTCTTGCCTCAGAAGAAGAAGAAGAAGAAGAGATTGGATTTATACCCCGCCCTTCACTCGGAGTCTCAGAGCGGCTTACAAACTCCTTTCCCTTCCCCTCCCCACAGCAGACACCCTGTGAGGTGGGTGGGGCTGAGAGAGCTCTGACACAAACTGCTCTTTTTCAAGGACAGCTGTGCCAGAGTTTGTGACTGACTCAAGGTCACATCAGCAGGTGCAAGTGGAGGAGTGGGGAATCAAACCCAGTTCTCCCAGATTAGAGTCCGCAGACTTAACCACTACACCAAACTGTGTACCCACAGCTGCCATTCCCTTTGCTTTGGCTTTTAAAAATGGCAATTTCTAGATAACTATAGTGATAAAGCCACGGTCTGGCTAGCTTGATCTCACCAGATCTCAGCTGCTAAGCAGAGTCATCCCTGGTTAGTACTGGGATGAGAGACCACCGAGAAAGTCCAGGGTTGCTACACAGAGGCAGGCAGTGGCAAACCACCTCTGTGCATTTCTTGCAGTTAATACCCTACAAGGTCACCATGTTGGGTGCGACTTGAAGGGTGGGGGGAAACGATAAAACGTTGTAGTGATCTGTTGTCAGAACAAAATTAAAGTTTAGTAGCACCTTATTTATTTTATTTATTTTATTTTATTTTTATTCCACCCTCCCCAAAGCAGGAAATAGGAAAATACAAATACAAATACCCAACTAGAATCCACCGTATAAACCCTAAAGTAAGCCCAAAATGTTGGGAAAACTGAGGGCCAGTAGGATACTATTTACATTGCTGGTGGCACTGCCCATTGATTAAAAAGTACTGGCGGGCAACGAATTCTAAAACACATTCATATAATCACGGGGTGTAACTTACCAGAACTGCCGGAGACGGTCCTCTTATCGCAATGGCCAAATTCTGAAGAAAACAAAAATTAAATTAAATTAATCTCTAATCTTTTAGCGACTGCGAGAATTCGAATTGCAAAAAACTGGAGAGAACAATCTAGCCCTACACTTCAAATGTGGCAAAACAAACTATGGGATCACTTTGCTTTAAGTAAAATCACATCTCAATCAATCACGCCTAACTTGCTCAATGATCAAAAATCTTTTCAAGCTCTTTGGTTCAGTGGTGGGCAAACTCATTAGTCAAGAGAGCCAAATATCAACAGTACAACGATTGAAATTTATTTTGAGAGCCAAATTTTTTAAACTTAAACTATATAGGTAGGTACATTGTTATTAACTTAATTAGGGTACTCCTAAACTGGCCTTTGCTGAAAATGTTCTCAGTCTGATCGAGGTACGTTCGCTGAGGTCAACCCCTTCCAACTCTCCCATCCACACTCGTCTTGTATACTTGTTTCATCTCCTTTCATTCATCCTCTCTATATGTCCAAAGTATCCATAAAATTAAATCATGACAATGACTGACAAACACTAATGTGAACAATGGCCTTGCATCTCCTTGGAAAGTTTGGGTAAGTCAGGTTTGTATGTTGTTGTTTTTAATTTTAGGCACACACTAGAAAGCATCAATATGTATGGCCTCGCTGGACCAGATTCAAGGTTCTTAGCTAGCAGCTAGCATTCTGTTCCCAACTGCAGCCTTCCAGAGGCCTCTGGAAGCTCAAAGAGCTGTTTGCCCTCCCCCATTCTCTCAACAGCATTTCATATTAACAGGTTCAGTGTCCCTGAACGCAAGCTTGATTGTTCACAATATATTTCATCTCTA